TTAAATGATGTACAGTACAATACTCCAAATACATCCTTAACCCTGAATAAGAAAGTAATATTTTACAACCCGGAATTCTTCTGATAACCTTTAACACCAAACATTAAGGTCCTCAAATAACTCTTGACTTTGAATGGTGCGCATTAACTCAGAATTCTTTCTTAGATGTTGTTCAACTCATCTTGTTAATTAGCTCTTGATTGTCAATCCTTAAGCATTTCAGTCAACTTTTCAAAGAAAATATATATATTAGTTTTCAGTAGGTGGGCTAGAAATTTCTCAGTAGACATTAGCAAATGAGGTAAGGAAAATATATGACAAAGCCCTTGACCATGGTTGGATCATAGCCATATAAAACAATAATATATGTACAGTTATATTAAGGATGGCAAAAATATCTTGGAAGGGGGAAAATGTAAAGTAAATGTCTTTACTGGGTTTTCTAATTTCAGGTACTTCGAGCACATATATTGCCGCTTACTAATGTTGCCTTCAACAAGTCTGGTTCTTGGTAAGTGCAAGTATTAACATTCAAAGTGCATTTTTTCAATGCAAAAGCCATATTTAAATTTATTTTACTTTTATTTTTATTTACATTCCACTTTTCTTCCAACCTGGGGTCCATAGGAGCTCAGAGCAAAGGTTAAATCAAAGTACAGCTTAAAAAAGCTGATTGTAATAAAAGTAAAATAAACAAGCAAACTATCATGTTAAAACATTACTACTTTAAAATAGTTTAGGGTATTTAAGACATAATAGTAAAATGTATATGATGCTTCTCAGAAGCCATAGTTTTCTATGCTAAGGGTCTTGCTAGGAAAGGGTTAATAAAACCAAAACTGGAGGCCAGAATTAGTAACAACTTTGGGTTTCCCCCTGTCAGGTTCAGCAAAATCAGAACTCTGTGGAGTCAGTAAACCAGCCAATTGCAGTAATTAGAAGTTTATTGAACACACAAAGTCAGCATTTCACTACACTGCGTTTAAGCCAGAACTGCCCCCCCCAACATTACAGCACCTAATTAAACCCACCGAAATCTTCATTCCACCCACTAGCCTCTTGGCGCACAAACCCATCTTCTCCTATAATTCCCACAGTTTCATTTCCCCAGCTCCTTTGCCCCCACCTTTGCTCATCACCCACCAACGGCTCCAAGGAGTACTATCCTCCCTTCCAATTCTCAACATTCCAAAGAACCTGTTATCAAAACAACCTAGCAGCTGCACACATCCCAACCCCCAAAACCTTCCAACACTATTCCATCAACCCTTCTTTAATATCCATCATCCCCAACACTATTCTGGCAGAATCTGAAGCCAGGTTCTGACACCCCCCTTAAATAGAAAATTCAGCAAAATGACAAAAAACATGCATTAAAATCACTATATTTCCCAATCACATTGTGCTCTACCTTCTGTTATCTTCTTTAAAGGCTTCTCACCCAGTCTATGAACACAATAATATAACCAAAATAAAATATTTTTTAAAACCTCATCATACCTTGAGTTAACACTCATGCCAATAATGTAAAATATTTTGTATGCCATTTCATATTAAGTTGTTCTTCATTTTCTGGACACTATTTGCTACCTTCCTTATACCATAGGTGAAAACCTGTAAAACATTATCACTTAATCATTGTGAACTCTCATCTTAGCCAACTCTCATCATATCCAGAAACTTGGTTTAGGCTTTAATCCTGTATTTGCTTTTATGTATAAGTAGCATGGATAGTCAAATTGTTCAATCATAGATTCAGGCTGCAGTCCAGTTCCTGCTTACACAAGGATAATGTCTGAGTAGATGTGTATACAATTATATTATTAGTAACAGTTTGAAGCAATAGAAATGCATTGACCCATTTTTGTTCCCTACCTATAGCGTGTCATTGTGTCTCATTTTCATTCTTTGACTTGTTAGCTCATCAGTATTTGTGGTACTTTCAATCAGTATGGTAAGACGTGTTCGTTAAAATTTCTGAAAATACCCAGAATGCTAGCAATACAGTCTCTGCTCATTCTAATCTTTAAGGACAATGTGAGAAAGAGAAGAGAATTGACCTGTTGAAAGAGAATAATTGAATTCAATGAGCAATGCATTAAACCATGAAATTGATGTTTCTTAAAAATTACATTCTGCTTTGCCCATTTTAGTTTTATCACTGGAAGTTATGACAGAACTTGCAAACTGTGGGACACTGCATCAGGAGAAGAGTTACGTTCCCTGGAAGGACATAGGAATGTGGTATATGCAATTGCTTTCAACAATCCCTATGGGTATGCAACTTTTCAGAATCAGTTACTTTATCATGTCATAAAACTTAAAATGGGCTGTTAATCCTAAAATCTATTTAATCAATTTGCTTGAAAATATCTATATCTTTGATACCTCCAAATTGTTTTGTCTTCTTTTCAATAAACCATGTTTAACTTTTCTCTTCTGTGCTATTTTATGGGAATACCTTTCTGTTCTATCCTACGTAATGGAAATAATTGTTCTTCCAATGAAAATAATAGGTTTTTTCACTTTAGTGACAAGATTGCTACAGGATCATTTGACAAGACCTGCAAATTATGGAATGTGGACACAGGAAAATGTTATTATACCTTTAGGGGACACACTGCAGAAATAGTGAGTATGGGACCTTTGACAGACATCATAATTACATATATGGAACTACCTCATTTTCCCAAAACACCTTTAAAATCAAGTCTTTTTTCCCCTGGTTGTCATTGCAACTGTGTTAATGGGAATGTGGTATTATTCTCAAGAAACACGGTGAAATCATTTGTACCCTGTTAATTGTGAATAATTTAAAGAGCACATTTTTTACTTTTTAGTCAGCTACAGTGGTACACCAACTGCTAGAGCCTTCCTTTTTTGATGGGATGAGTAAAATCACATGATTTTTAAAATCAGTTTCAAATAAGGCATTCTTGAGTGGTTCAGAATTTTTAAAAATATATCCATTATCATTAATTCAGTAATACTAATCCTGGTATATATTTGGTGTGGTTGCATAGTATTGACATCCAAATTAAAAAGTGAATACAGTTACTGGATTTAAAACTGGGATTATAATATGATCAGTGATGAAGCTACCCTGATTTAAGCAGGCATCTCTTGAAATTTCCTCTCATTCAGTATTGATGAGATATTTTCAGAGAGAAAATATTCCTCTCCATGACTCTTCTTTCTTTCTTCATAATATCCAGTGGAATATAACATGTATCATGCTATTGTATAAAGTACTGACCTGTTTGTGTCACCAGTAGCCAGTGATGTGAGGCAAGAGTGGGAAATTAGATACTGTTTTTTGGTGGGTTTTTCGGGCTGTGTGGCCATGTTCTAGAAGAGTTTCTTTCTGATGTTTCGCCAGCATCTGTGGCTGCCGTCTTCAGAGAATACTGGAATGGCAGAGAGATACTGGATATTTCAAGGAAGATACAAGAGAAGAAACAAGGCACAACAACAGCCATTGTTACTTGTAACATCAAATTAGACTAGGGCTGGGTAACTTTGTTGGATTGAGGTACCAATTCTGTCCTCCTGTGACCTATCATAGGCTGTAGGCCTCCTGTGTTACTGTGCCAGTGAAATTCAGCAGCATGCCTGAAGCTGAATTTTGGTTCTTAGGAGGTCTGGGGACTTCATATAGGTTATGTATTGTCCATGACTGAGTTTGACTGTCAGTCATACAGCCAGATTAATAAATCTCCATGAAATCACTTCAACAGAGTAATGGTGAGTGTGCCTTGAATGCATCTTTTGGGTCACTTGTTTCCACACATCATAGAAATATATTTCTATTTCCAAATTAAGGAGTAAGACAGAAAAACTTGCAAGACAACTTCCTTTTTCTGACAGGACAAAATGTTGGAGTTGAAACACACTTACTGTTCCACCCTATCTCAGCATTTGCAGGCTATGTCAGCAGTGCCTTCAAAATTATATAAACTTTCTATGCATAGTTTATGGTTGGGCGGGTTCTATTTTTTTGGCAGCCTATGCATGGGAGTACAGAAGTAACAGAAGGCATCTCCACATAATCTTTTGATAGTATCACACTTACTCTCCTATATCTTCACACATGATTCTGGACTCCATTTGCAGATTCATTTGGACCAACTATCCTAGAAGTAGCACAGAAACCCAAATATATGTGTTTCTTTCAATATGGTGGCTACTCATTAAACTTTGCTGCCAGTTTAGTCTGTATGGCTGAACCATTCTTTCCTTAGGTTTCAAAAGTTGTAACCAAAGAGCTAATTTACATAATTGCAAGGAAAAATGAGCAAACATGATTAAATGTTCAAGTACTGAGATGTAAATAATCTCTTTTCATAAGTGGTCTGATCATGAAAGAAAAATGTTTTGCTCCTTCATCTGAGTCCTGGGAAAATATTTAAAACAATATAGTGAGGAAGATGTCCCTTTGTGGCTAGCAGTGATCCTGTAGCTGACATATTTGATTTTACTGGTCTATAATGAGCCCACAGGGCATTAAGCAGGACCAACTATTGCCATTCTACCATGCTATCATTCTGTCAAGCAGGGAGGATCGGAAATCCAAGGATCTGTGTGAAGCTCTTTTTTCTCTCTTTTATCTAACAGGTTTGTCTGTCCTTTAATCTTCAAAGCACATTGGTTGCTACTGGAAGTATGGATACTACAGCTAAACTGTGGGACATACAGAATGGAGAAGAAGTGGTCAGATTAACAGTGCGTTGCAGCTCTTTATAGTTCTGGTGATATTCTGATATTTTCTTAGGTTTTAGTTGAAAGAAAGCTGAAAGAACATTTCTTAATTATAAGTTGCAAAAGTCAGATGCAAGAGTTTTCTATAGATCTCTTAGCAACTGTAGTTAAATAATGCATTAAACCAACATAAAGTAAGATGAAAAAATGGTATACTTATTAAAAAGTGAGAATGTGCAGAACAATCTTATGCAATATTCAGTTGAAAACAATGTTTAGTGGGACCTGCCTGCATTTAGAGAGCCAGCGTGGTGTAATGGTTTGAGTGTTGGACTGTGACTTTATAGACCAGGGTTCAAATCCCTATTTGGCCATGGAAACCCACTTAGGGCTGATGTACACAGCACATTTGAGGCGGCAGAAATCCGCCCTGGGGAGTGGCGGATCAGGGCCACGGCAATCCCACCCTAAGAGCTGGTGCCATGGCTCTTCAGTGCCCTTTCGGTGCAGTGTGTTTAAATGCTGTGCTAGAAGGCCATCCTGATGCTGTGTGCCATGCATATGGCTACGCGGCATCAGGACAGCATTAGTGTGGGGGTGGCTGTCATGTGGCTGCCCCGCCTCAACTCTACCCCCAGGCCGGCCCTTTTGGGCTGGTCTGCAATGGCCCTTAGAGACCCTGGGCAAGTCACATACTCTGAGCCCTCAGAAAACCTTGTGATAGGTTCACCTTAGAGCAGGGGTAGGCAACCTAAGCCCCGGGGGCCGGATGCGGCCCCACAAGGCCTTTGGACCGTCCCCAGGCCGGTCCTGCCACTGCCACCGCCCCCTGCTGCCCGCCATGATGATATTATTGTTATTACTTGTTATTGGGGTTTTCTTGGCAAAAATCTCCACAGGGATTTTGCCATGACTTTTCTGGGGCTGAGAGAGTGTGCATGCATATTTTTTTAATTTTTATTTTTGTAAATTTTTAATATTTATTTATTTATTTATTTATGGTGCTTCGGCCCCCCAATTGTTTGAGGGACAGCAACCCGGCCCCCGGCTCAAAAAGGTTGCCTACCCCTGCCTTAGGGTCACCATTAATCTGAAACAACTTGAAGGCAGACAATATCAACAGCAACCTGAATTTAAATGTGAATAGGATTATAAACTAAGGTTTGTCTGAGCATTTAGCTGGAAACAAATTTCATTGACTCATTGAGGCATGAATGAGGTTTATGTCTATATAGAGATGTACGCAACTGTATATTAAACCATGTGCCCTATTTTTCCTTATTCAGTGATTTCCCCTTTATAAAGAGAATATATTGCTTTATTAAACAAAATATATTTACAATAACATGAGATTCCCCTAACTCACAGATACTATATAATTGCTTTAAAATATTTTGTCACCAGGGATTTTAAATGCAGGATTTCAAGATAATCCTGAAAAATAGGCTAGTCTGTTGGTAGCAATTTATTCTGTGTCAGATTCTTGAATAAGTGATCAATTGCATCCAGATTCTTTTTGTTCACATCACATTCTGTTCATTTTCTGTGTTCTTTCTGTTGCTTGTCTCACATATAAACTTCAGTTTGATTTGATGGGCTATAGCAGAAGTAGAGAATTGTTGGCCCTTCAGAGGCTTACCCAGAATGAACTAAGATAGGGGACCGTGGCAATTGTAGTTCAGGATCCAGGTTCATCAACCCCTGAGAAATAGTAGTATTAAATAGCCCTAAGAACCAATTAGCTGTTTTCCAGATTCCAACTCTTTCCTTTCTTTGACTTCCTATATTTCCCACATCACCTAATGGGGGGAATTGTGCTCCTTTATAATGTGTATGTACAAAGTATGTATGATATTATGTCTGCATAATTATTTTTGTTAAGACTTGAAATTCCTCTTTTAAAATTTAGGGGCACTCTGCAGAGATAATTGCATTATCCTTTAACACCACAGGAGACAGGATCATCACGGGTTCCTTTGACCACACAGTTGCTGTATGGGATGTTGGCACGGGCAGGTACTATTTTAAGCCATGCTTTATTGTATACTATACAAGAAAACTTACAAAATTTCATACTGACATTTTTAGTTCCTTAATCTGTCTTACCTTGCTCATATGGATGATACATTCTAGGCAACAAAAAGCTTCTTGAAACCGGAAGGATAAAACTACGTGCACTATTTTCTATAGTTCTCCCTAGCAACAGATCTATGTTCTGTCGGCCACAGAATTAAGATAATATTTCTCTGTGTTGGCAGATTATGTGGGGCATCCTAGTCAAAGTATAGAGCCATGGTGGCGGACCTATGGCACGCGTGCCCTCTGTGGCACATGAAGCCATTTGTGAGGGCACACAGAAAGATGGGAGTGCGGGGAAGAGGAGAACAGGTGCACACCTGTTTCTCCTCTGCCCCTAC